ATGGTTTGAGGGGGGGGGGCTACTTAATTTCCTTCGCTCTATTGTTTCTGTCTGTCCTTCCGTCTGTCCATCTTGCTTTGCCCACGCACAGAATGGCCGTTATTGTGTTTTTGTCCTTCTCTGTAATCAGACTATTTTCTCTCACTGGAGTATCAGTAAAGTGTATTTTAACTAAGACACAGATGAGGACGCTTCTGAGGTCGAGCACATTGACCCACGTCAGGAAGTAGGTGATAATGAGTAGCGGGGAACGTCTCACAGTGGTAGGCAATCAGGCTTACAATTACGGGGTTGTTTGGTTATTTCCGGCGGTCCAGCGCACGATGAGTGGACATTAATTGATAATCATTACTCGGGGTCTTTGTGCTGTTACGTACAGGGTTTTAGGAGTTTGTTTTGTAACCTGAAGGTCTCTAGCTCGAGTTTCCTAAGAATAGCAGAGGATTTTTATTGTAGGAATATTTGTGTTTCCCCAGATATTTTTTGTATGTTTATTCAACAAGTGGTGATGATGATGATGATGATGATGATGATGATGATGATGATGATGATGATGATGATGATGATGATTTTCTCAATGTTCCTGACGAAGCTCCTTTTGCAAAACCTTTGTACTTTTTCAGTATTACAAGTTTTGAAATCCTACAGTCTGCACAATTGTTTTGCTTTTTTATTTTCCTGCTTTCAGCTATGATGATGATGATGATGATGATGATGATGATGATGATGATGACGATGACGATGACGACGACGACGACGACGACGACGACGATGACAAACATTGATTGTGATAATGATAACGATAAGAATGTTGACTGTCTGTTTGTTCACAGGGCCAGGCGGGCTCCCGTAAGGACACACTGAGTGACGCCAACAACCAGCAACGATTTAACGACGACGCCAAGGACTTGGTGAGTCCCCGGTTTGAGCTCTGTTGGAAATGACTTCCGTCTTGCCAGTGGCAGGCAAAACGGCCTTATCCTCCTTACATTTTTCCTGAGTGCCTTTCTTTACTTATAGGCTGACGCTGGTAGGCAATACACCCTTACGCTCCCTCTTATATTTCTGGATGCGTTTGGAGGTATTACATTTTTGTTTGCAATCACTCTGTAGTTTCTGTCTATATATTGGGGTGGTTTGAGGGTGCTTCTTGCACAACTTCTTAACTCTTCCGCTGTTGTTTCTGTTGGTTTACTTGTCTTTCTAGGAGGACATCGTTCATTTCCATTACATCTTTGCCGTTCCTATCTGTCTATCTTGATCTGCGGGTGGGTGGAAGGCGCCAATAGTAGGCACTGCTTCTCAACTCTCCTGTTTGTCTGTGTGTTTGTCTGCCTGTCTGTCAGTCTGTCTGTCAGTCTGTCTGTCTGTCTGTCTGTGTCTGTCTGTCTGTCGTAACACAGGAAAAAAAAAATCGTCCAAAACATTGCAGGACAACTCTGGATTATTGTGGGTGGTTCAAGGGTGTCATTGGCAGAATCTGCTTCTGCTCTCTCTTTATGTTGTTTCTGCCTGTGGTTCTTGTTTTTTCCCCAAGCATATTTTTTTTTCTTTGTGTGGGTGGTTGGCGGGTGTTCTGGTGTGGTTTGCTCCCTCTATCCTGTCAAACATCTATCGTCCTTATCTCTCCTCCTTTTTTGTGTAAGTTGCTCTCTTGCAACACAATTATTCTTCGGCACTTATATGACCTTATTGTGTTGCAAGTGCCGTAGAACTTTTACTAAAACAAAGTGTCGTAAAACACTTACTAAAACTAAACTGTGACATATTTGTGTTGCTGCAAGTACCCTAAAACTTTTACTTAATAACACATAAAACACAAACTATCTGTCTCCATACAGTGAGTGGTTGGCGGGTGCTCTGGTGTGGTTTCTCCTATCCTGTCAAACATCTATCGTCCTTATCTCTCCTCCTTTCTTGTGTTTGTTACTCTCTTGTAACCCCTCTAATCTTCGGCACTTTATGGCCCTATTGTGTTGCAAGTGCCGTTAAACTCTTACTTAATAACATATAAAACACAAACTCTCTGTCTCCCTACACTCTTCTTTCCTACTGTCTTCCCTTTCGCTAATTGGCTGCTTTTGCCTCGGTGTGCTCCCCCTAGCTCCGACAAACCACCAAATGTATTGGACAATCTGTATGCCGTGCAGACTTCATTAGCAGCTCTCTCTCTCTCTCTCTCTCTCTCTCTCTCTCTCTCTCTCTCTCTCTCTC